TCCCATCGGGAAGGTTAAATTGAATTCTAGTAAATTGACCCTACCGCCGATGCAGGGGCTGCGGGTGTGAGGGAATGCCGGCACAGGCCCCTTCAAATATTCGCCGTACTTGGCAAAGTTTTGGGGCCAAAAAACCGCAGCAAAAGTGGCAGCAGCGGCTTCAACTTTAGCTGCTATCCCTACAGTTCCCCGTCCCCTGCACCGTACACATCGAAGTGCATGTCAATACAGCAAGCGGGCTGTATGGGGGTAGTATGTACTGTGGGGCTGGGACACATGCATAACTGTATACCAGCCAAAGCTAAAGACTGTGTGGACCGGGGTCCCGTCTCGTCTCGTCTCATCTCGTCTCTTCTGTTTCAGTTTCAGTTTCAGTTTCAGCCTGTGAATATGTCTTAATTTTTGACCAAAGTTTTCCGGATACCCTCTTCAATCCTAGCTTCCTCTCCCCTCTCCCTCTCTCTGTAGTGCTTTCACTCAACCCTCCGTCCCGGACAAGCTGTTCCATTGCTTCCACTGATGCTTCTGCTGCTGCTGCTTCTGCTGCTGCTGCTGATGCTGCTGTTGTTGTTGGTGTTTGAAATAAACTTTAATGAGTTTTCTGCTTTTCAGCCACAAAAACCACTTAACCGGCACATATGCATGCCAGGGGTAGGGTGTGGCGCTAGCTGCAGAAAACTTTAGCCAGCATGGAGTATTTTTGGCCAAGTTAACATTGCATATACTCGCCGAGAGACAGGCAAGGCAATACCCTCCCATCACCATCGCCCCACCAAACACATACTCACACATATTTGGGGTTTTTAAAAATATAGTGCATATTCGTTCTCATTGGGGAAATACATATTGGAGGGCAGGGGCAAGGAATAGCCCATGAATAGACGGGGCAGAAGCTGGTGCTGAGCTGTGGAGAGATCCCAGGCAATGACCAGCGGCTGGCTGGCTGGCTGCCTGTCTACATGGAACAAAACTAAGTGAGAGCGAAACGTCACAAGTTGGAGTAGCAACTAACGGGATGTCCTACGCTGCTGCACAAATTTCAAGTGCCTGAGCAAAGAGAGCGGCAGAGAGAGAGAGCCGCAAGATGTAGCCTCTCACCGATCGAATGAGCTTTTCAAAGCTTATATCTCTCTCAGCCAAAGCCACAGGGCCACACAAACATAACAGTAATTCAGAGTACATATCATAAATATAAAATCGGATGTTTAAAAACGTTAACTGCCTATGTCATACAATACACCCCAGAGACGCCTCCACACATTGAAGGGTATTACAAATTGCAGCTAACAATTTGAGCGCATGTAAATTGTTGGTGAGGCGACGGCGAGAGAGACTGCAGAAAAGCGAAGAAGACGGTGATGGAGATGCAAAAGAGTTTGGGGTTGGTTTTGGGAAGACAGGAGGCAAGCAACCCGACATTTACGGCCGGCAAATTTTTCGCTTAGTGCTAACCAATCAACTGTGGCAAGTTTTGGCTACTGCCCCTGTGCACAAAAGTCTTGTCAAGTTCAGTATCCTCTGGTCCAGTACCACCTCCATTCCCTGTTCCTTGTGGCTTGCAATATTATTCTGACGTTGCCATTCCTTCGCTTGACTTTCGTACATTTAATTTCTGACTAACGATGGCATGTCATATGAGTTATGCATGCACTTTCAGGCCATTCTCTTTCGCCTGCTGCTGCTGTTGCTGCCTGCTGCTCTCTTTGTTTACATTTAAATGTCTCCTGACTGGACGGCACTCGCTAATAAAAGAGTCATTCACCGTACGTTCGGGATTCAAAATGGAATGGAACGGAACGGAACGAAAAGGAACGGGAGTTGGTCAGAGGGTAAGCACTGGAGCTTGTGCCAGTGCCGCTCGCTCGGCGTTGTCAAAGTTTTATGAGGGGTCAAGCTCGCGCATTTGAAACGTCTTTCGTTTAATTACATTTGCGGCACATTCAGCAGGGATACCCTGCGCTTAGCTGACACGATACAGCAGCGGCATATCAGGCCAAGAGAAGAGTATGCCAAAAGGGAGATGATTTCTGTGTATAACTTTATCCAAGCTCTCAGCACAGGGAGGGTACTCCCACAGTCGCTGCCACCTGACTCGTGTCCATACAAAATACTCGTACATATCTGTCGTTGGATATTCCCCAACCGCTGCCCCCTCCCCCAACTGCTTCTCATATATTTTTTGTTTGTTTTGTTTTTTTGTTTTGGCGTTTTTTTGTTGTCAGTGTTGGCCCTGCAATTACTTTGTGGCCAAAGCCAAAAACTAAATGTGGACGCGACGCAGCTGCCGTTAGCATAAAGTAATCAAAAAAGTTTTGCTTTATTGTGGGGCAGCACACTCATCATCATCATCATCATCATCATCATCATCACTGAAGCTGCAGAAGTGTTGCCTTGCCTTTCTATATCTAAGCTTAAAAAAATACTACTACTACTAAGTATGTAGTGTGGCTTCTTTTTTCTCCATTCTCCTGTTTGTACTTGCAACGCGGTGTTTGGTTGCGGCTGCAGCCGCGTGGCTGCGGAGACATCAACCTTGAGCCCCACCAAATGTCCAAATGCAATAAAAAATTGATAACTTTTCTTTTATCTCTCTCTTGCTCTGTCTTTTTTCTATCATTTTCATCTTCATCTTCTTGTTTCTTTTTTGTATTGTTTTGCGGGCAACAGTTACACAGTGGCTGCAAAAAGTTAATTGTACACTGACTGCCAGCAGGCAGGCAGGCAGTCAGCCAGTCAGCCAGCCAGCGGCAGTCACTGAATAGAAAAGAACAGAACAAACATCCTTATAAGACAAAGTATAGAGTGCTAAAGGCCATTTGGTATTATTCGCACGTAATTCGATGAAATTTTAATAATCCAGCTACGAAGGTAATAAAGAACTTTTGGACATGTGGGCTGAAGGCCGTTTCCTGTCTCCGTCTCTCGTTCTGGATCTTTCACGTGTGCTCCGTGTGCTTCGATTACACAGAGCGAGCGAGAAAGAATCATTTGGAAGGTATGCCAGACTATTGTTGGAGTTTGCTGCAAGCTCTGAATGGGTATTGAATGAAGGGATCGTAAGGAATCGTGGCTTGACGAATGTAAATACTGATAATTGCTTTAATTGCACTCCGGAAGGATGGGGCATCACCAGTTCGTTTCTTTCCACAGTTTCTTCTGGCTATATGTACACCTGTGCTTGACACCTGCAGCTCGCCACACCTCAGACGCAGCAGCAGTGTCAGCAACTCATTCAAACCCACACACACACACACATCCTGGCCCCGTACCCCCGGACTATTGAACAGCCCCTGATTGGGCTTTTGACTTGATTTCAAATTGATTGCAATTGCAATTTTAGCTTGACTGGAGAGGCAAATGCAGGCGGGAGGGGGGAAACGTATATGGCAGACCTAGAGAGCGTGGGAAATTAATTAAAATTACTTACTGACTCGCAAACATTTTACTTGATTTCTCTCTATTATTGTGGCGCCAATTAATTTGCTTAAATTTTCATACCAAACACAAAACAAGTGGCAGGAGCGGGGTGGAGAGGGGTGGGGCTGGGGCTGGGGTGGAGGCAAATGCTAAAAATTTAATTAAAATCGAGCAAACAAACATCGGCCGAGCGGGCTGGCACTCTGCTCTGATGGCTAGTTAGAGCCATAGACCCAAAGAGGAGTCCTGCCGCCCAGTCAGTCGTAAACTGTGATGTTCTTCAAAAACTTGCACCGCACCATGCCCCATGCCACATGCCCCATGCTGCACTCCTGCCACAAGTGCAGTGCAAACACATGACGCATACGCCGTGTGGGCACCACGACGATGGCGGGCCCAAAAAAGCGAATTTCATTTGTGGCAAATGGCAGTGGCAGTCGCAGTGGCAGTGGCAGCAAACTAAATTGCTCAAAAGAGCCAAACAAGAAGAACTTGAAAACGTTTCAGGCCAAGACCAATCTCGGCTCGGTCCGGCACAACTCCAATGCTCCATCGTCATCGCCGTTCCTCCCGCCTTGCCTTCTGAATCTCAGCATTCAACACTTTTTTTTTCTTTACGAACGACCCCCGTCCTGCGCTCTCTCCACGAGACGCTGCCAGGATCTGGCCCTGTTTGGCCAGTCCATTTCCTTAGTCTTATTAAAAGTTGCTGAGATTCTTGTGTTTACCTGGCACAAATGTCAAATCAGATGGAAAAATGTGCAAAGGAATGCAATGCGGAATGGCGAAATGGCGAAATGGCGAAATGGCGGGGGGTAGCAATCGCAGCAGCGGACTCTGTGCTGGCATCTGCATTTGCCAGATACTTTTATACCTTTAGAGCACGAGAATGTGACACTCCACGCTACAAGTTAGGCAGTTAATTAGTCAACAATGAATTATGGTCAAGTAAGTGCAATTAAATATAATTAATGAGCATTTATTTGCTTCATTCCTTGAATAAAATCTATCATTTGACTCCAAGCAAAAGGACTCCTTGTGTGTCAAATATAACTCCAGCCCCAAGTGGCAGTGGCAGTGGCAGTGGCAGCGGTAAGGGACGTCAGCCACGTGTTTCCACGACACTGGAAATTGGAATGTAAACAGAAAACGTAAACATACCGGCATATGGAATATATTCACCACATGGTGAAGACGACCAGCGACCAACGACCGTCGACCGACAACACACACGATGGCCACACGTCCAGCCGAGCAGCAGAACGAGGCAGCGACTCGACCGTGCTCCTTCGGCTGCCCCGAAACTGTTGCATGGGCGCAGGCGCCGATGGCAAATTGGCGGCACGGCAAAGCAAACAGGATGCGAGGCTCAATGCCGCCAAATTGTAACACAGCCAACGGCAGGCCATCAGGAGGCAGCACGAAGGACGCCGAGCAACGAGCACGCCAGCCGACTGCCGTTCGTGTCCTGGCGGTGTTGGCCGAGTTCGTTCGAATCCGGGCACGACTCGGCAGCTATTGTGCTGCGGCCGCAGCAACAGTTTTGTTTGAAACGTCAACACGTGCGGTAGTCCTGCTGGTCCTCTTGCTGCTCCTGGCAGGCTCCTTGGCAGTCCTCTTCGGCCAGTCGTAGAACCGCGTAGAACCGTCGCGTGTTGCTCAGAGTTTTAGCGCGAATTTTCGTTGCAAGTGCAAAGGCACGGGCACTGGCCAGCCCAGTCCCACTCAAGTGTTGTCCATCAAGAATTGTATACATTAAATTTAGCACTTGATTTTTGTTGTTTTTGTTTCGTGTTGCGCCGCACCTAATCCCCGCCAGAAATCCACAAAGAGAACAAACGAGCAGCGCCCACCGAACAGGCCATCAAATTAATCAAATTAAAAGGTAAAGCCAATGAAATACCACGGGAACGGGCACGGAAACTGGGAATGGGAAACCTAATGAGCGAGCGTTAGGGGGGGGTTTTGCAGGAGGGATTTTTGTCAAAATCAAATTGCAACCGCAGACGAAACTCGCTCCACAACGCGAATCAAAGCATAGCGAAGCCCCCAAATCAACGTAATTTGTTCTCATTATAATCTAACAAGCCAACAGAGTCAGAAGTAGAAGCAGAAGCAGAAGCAGAGTCAGAGTCAGAACCAGAGCGCACATTACACCCAGACCACACCACTAAACACCATTCCACACCACACCACACACACACATAGCAACACATTGGTGTTGCCTGGTAATTTTCATTAGCCAACTCCGCCAATAGCTTCCTTCCACCCACCCACAGAGGCTACAGCCACTCCAGTGCTCCAACTGGGGGAATGCGAACAGGAACCAAAGACAAAGCCAGCCAGTTTGTTGACTAATCGTTTCTCGATTGCATTTTAAATGCCAACTTCGAGCGCCGGAAACGGAAGTGCATTCAAGCAGGGGTGCAGGAGCAAAGTGGGGGAGCGGGAGAATGCCTTTTCGTCGAACAATCCAACAATCGTACAATCCAAATCCTTACACAGTAATACTTATGTCCTTACAGCACTGTGGCAGCTCCCAGTGATTTTTCCCTGACAATCAATATTTCATATTAACTTGCATTTTAAGTGGATGGGAAATTGGCAGCAAATCGCAGTAAAACTTTGATGCAAAACTCTGAAATGTGTGTGTGTGTGTGTGTGTGTGTGTGTGTGCAAGCGACAACAGAAAAATTAAACCCTACCCTTCGGATTTCCCCCCTTAAGATTTTGCCTTGGGAATGCCAAGAATTGATTTTGATCTCTGCGTGAGTTTCCACCTGAAGATTCCCTTGAAAAATTGTTGAAAATTAATTGTGTTATTGTGTCAATTGGTGAATACAAATATCCATCATTAGGTGCCTGCAATCAGCAGACGTTCAACCGGGAGGGGCGATAAGCCTTTAATTATAAAATAATAGTTTTAATCAAATATACTGCAAAAATAAAAATATACTGCGGACGGGACTCGGGACTTCCTCTGACAGTCCGTCGATAAGAGGCACTGGAAACAATTCCATTGACGGCAATTATTGTTTAATTGATGCGGATTAGTCCGCGAGGCGCAATTGTAATCATTTCCCCTGCGGCTCCCCCCCCCCCCCCCCCCCAAAACAAAAAAAAAAAAAAAAAAAGGAGAGGCAAAAAAAAAATTTATTTGAAAAAAAAAATATATAAAAATTTTTTTATAAAAAAAAACCNCAATTTTTGGACAAACAACAAACAGTTTTCCGTAGCCACCCACATGGTACTTCCTCGTATATAATATTTTTGTGGATGCAAAATGAAAAGTGGAAGGAGAAAATGGCACAAATATTTACCAGCAATTTTCCCTGAACGGCGACGCCATCAACATCATCAGGCAGGCGGCTGGCTGTCGACAATAAAATCATTCTGGCAATTTATTTGCCGAGTTTTTTCTGCTCTTGCTGTTTGCCATTTTTTTCGAGTAGCCAAAAAACAGCCAAACAAAACGAAATTAATAAAAAGATTTTTTCCATACGAAAAAAATCTCCAGCGCACATGTGGGAAAGAGTTTTCTGCCTGTCGGGACGCTCCGACTCAGGCTGCATTCGGGTCCTGGCACTGGCTCTGCTTGCTGGTGCTCCTTTTTGGCCGTCACCAATCAAGCTTCACTTCATTCATTTCCAATCCGTTTAATTGTATACAGATTAGACAGTTTAAAGTGTTCCCCCAGACTGGTTTCGTTTCGCCAAGTCCCGACCAAGTGTTCCATGAGCCAAACGAAATGCTTTTGGTTAGTTCTGGCTAAAATAATGATCGCTTTGAATAAACACCTTTACACTTTGAGTAATCTTTGTAAACAAAAGAGCCGAATGCCCGATAGATTACTTCTTTCATTAATTTCTAAGACTGAATTTATGGAATTTATTTTGGGCAAACAAATAATATTGGAAAGTGCTCAAAAAAGTTGATAAATTTATAAATTTGTATCAGAAAATATTCAAATAAAATCAAATTGTTTATTTCGTGCCTTAAACATTTCTAACAACTGGTTTCCTCTTGAATCTCTGACTGATATTCGGCAGTTTTAGGGGATTTATGGACTAAACTATGGGAATTTATGGGAAGAGAACATTTTTAATAAGCCTAAAAGGCTGGAATCCTGATCATAAGTAGCTTAAATGCAGCAACGGTTTTTCAGAAATGTTTTCCCTTTACATTTTACCTAAAATCTGCTCCAGAAATAGTTGGATAGTTTCTCTATTCTCTATTTGCTTCACAAATATTTATTGATTTATTATTTGAAATAAATCGAGTGTCAAACGTGCTAAACTGTGACCCAGCTTGGGCTCTACTGAGCATTACATTTCAAGGCCTTCAGTTTGCAAACTTTTTTATTTATTTATTGACTTAGAGAGTTGACTTCTGCTTTTCAAAACCAAAATATTTGAATTTTATTTAATTGATCGGTATTTGTTTGAATTTCCAATGGTGCCAGGAAAAATGTTTGTGAATTATTGAACTAAAAATAATTAAATATAAAATCGGATTTGATTAACTAAATTAAACTGAAATGTGTCAGTTTGTACTTTTATTTATGTATATATATTAATTAAAAAATGCATCAATTTCAAAGTTCTCTTTAACTCGAATTAATTCTCTAGTGAAATTCGTGTTAATGTTTAGCCTTTTGCTGTGAAAAATCTCTCAGCACCCAAAAGATTTCCATTGAATGGAAAGGCAAAACAATTGATTTGACAAACTCAAATGGGGAAGCCTGTACCTCAATTGGGGGGCGCAAATTGCAACGTGCCACGACCCAAAGCTCTGCTAGTTTGTTTCGCCCCCGTCTATTAACCATTTTATCCGCTCTCACTTCACTCCCTGCTCCCTTTCGTCCTGTGTCTTGTTCGCCCATTGCGTGTTCATGACGCAACATTTGCGGTTGTTTATGCTTTTGAGGTCGCATTTCGTGGTTAGCCAATTGTTATGCGCATTTTGTTTAATTGCACACACACGCACAGGCACGCACACAGTGTCGTGTGTGTCGGTGTGTCGGTGTGTCGGTGTGTCGTGTGTGTCGTATGGTGTGGTGACATCGCCCATCGTCCTGCTCCGTTTAGGTGTTAATATTTCAATTAGCAGCCGTTTATGTTTACGTAGCCCGCGCGTGGAATGTAATGCTCCCATGTAATGCTCCACGCAACTGTTACGCCGAAAGTCGTAACGAAACGTAATACGCCTGGACATGCCACAACAGCAGCATGTGTGGCAAGTTGCCTCGTGGCTTTGTGTGTGTCTAATGTTCCGACTAAGTTTTACAACTGATTGCGCGGCTGAGCAGGCACTTAACTGGGCTCAGATTGAAGCCAGATTTGTGTTATGATTGCGGGACACACGACCTTAAGTCTGATGAAAGGCAACGCCAGATGATACAAGGATTTCAGCTATCTTCCATGCACCTATCAATCCATTTTGGATGCCATTAAGTGGATGCCAAGCCTAGATCTAGCTGGGGGTCCACAACTCCCATTTCCCCTGGCAATGAAATGCAATTGAAAAATAATGCCAGGCCACAATGGTGTGAAGTGTGCACAAACAGTGAGAGAGAGAGAGAGAGAGAGAGAGTGAGAGTGAACGTAAATGTCAAAGGATAATAAATCAATTGGGGGCAATGCCTTAGGCCTGTCATCTGTATAGATTTAAAAACATTTGCTTATCATTTTTTTGGTGGTTGTTGATGAGTCGCAGTGGCAGCGGCGCTGCTGAAATGTTTCAATAATGAATATGCAACAGTAAATGGCCGACGACACAGCTGTGGGTGCACGGAGGGGTCGCTAACGCCATCGCTATCTCTCTCAGTCTCGATCTGCTTTTTTTGAACATTTTAATATGCATGGCAGGGCCCGACACATTGCAGAAATGAAAAGAACAAAGGGAAAGTGCAGGGGGGGAAAACGAAAAGAAAAACCGCCAGCGGCAAACGAAATAAATTTGTCAGCCATTGCAATATTCTTTTGGGCCGCAAATGAAACTCTGAAATGGCTCTGGACGTGGGCACTCCAGCAGCTCCAGCGTGGCTCTCTGGCTCTCTGGCTCTGTGGGATCTGGGATCTGGTCAATAAATAAATATGCAAAAGTAAGCATATACATATGCAAAATACATCAGGCAAAACCTACGAATACAGCTACAAATGTGTCTGTCTGTGTCTGTGGCCCTGTGTGTCGATTCGCTGGAAATTGTGCATGAAAAATATGAAAAGACATTTTCGGTTAACGTTGCCCCGCAACCAGGACAGCGGCGCTCCCTTGCTCACTTGCTCCCTTGCTGCCTTCCGTTCTTTCTCTCAACTGACAATAAATGGGAGGAGGAATGCGGGAATGGGGGTTGCGAGAGAGTCGGATGTGGCAGCGTGCTGGGAGCTGCAGGAACCCAAACAGCTGCAGCAATGCCAATAAAATTTATTTAAAGCAAATTAACAATTCAATGGCCTGCGAATGATTTGTGTGCTGGAAAGATCAGTCCAGTAGACGATCCTCACCATGCCCCATAAAGCCACCAACAATTTTGTACTGCTGTTCCTGCTGTTCCTGCTGCTCCTGCTGCTCCTTTTCCATTTGATCTGCAACTGATGATAGCTAAACATTCATTTAAAACTCCTTTGGACAGACAGGACAGTCTGCCTTCTCTGGCAATTAACTTTTAAGCATTGAGCTCAAAAAGCATTCGACAACAATGGCATGCAGATATGTATGTACTTGGATTATTCAATTCGAGAGGCGCCTTATCTGGAAATTCACTCTCGTCCTCTCCGCACTTGGGGCATTTGTCACACATTTTACTTGCCACATTTGCCACACACAACACTTTATTTTCTTTCCTTTCCTTTTATTTTACTTTATTTCACTTTATTTCATTTTGTTTCATTTGAAATATTAATAAGTCGATGCCAGGGTTTTATTTTGCCTACTGTCTGGCTCTCTGCTTCTGTACTTGTGGCTGCCACAGCAAAATGCATTTAAGATTGAAAGTCTTGGGCCCACTTTTTGCAGCATTTATTCATAAATAATTGAGCAATTGCTGCCGAGTGGCATGCCTCAAATGGGGGAGCCTAACTTCTCAAGGATCATCTTATTTGGCAAACTTTATTTCCATATCAAGTGCCGGAAATTCGTTCCTCCCCCGATGGCTTCATTAGCTTCGATCGAGTATTTGGTGCTTTAGGGGCATTGGGGGAAATTTTCAATTACGCTCATGACATGACATAAAACCTAAATTAAGGCAAAATGTCTAAAGCGAACACAAACAGATTCAGCGGTGTGTGTGGGGCCATGGGCCATGGGCCTGAGCCTGACTGGCGAGTGTAACGCTTGATTTGCTCTGACATAAGTGGCGGCGACTCCTGACTTCTGCCTGCTGCTCCCTTCTGCCGCTGCTGGTTGCCTTATTGTTACGCCTACAACGAAACCATTTCGAGGCATTACTGGCATTCAACATTCGCCATTTGCCATTTGGCTCGGCTGCTCCAGCTCCAGCTCCGGTTCCTGCTGCTGCTGCTGCTGCTGCTGCGGCTGTAGGATTTTATACCCCGTAGTCGTATACAGAAAGGGTATATGGAAGCAGCAGCAAGGGCAAGCATTTGCCGGGTCAATTAGTCACATTTTGCACTCCTTCTATAAGCCACAGGGTAGCCGCTGTATCCATATCATGCTGCAGCCCTTCCCTACTTATTCTGGCTCATTCCATTCATATGTGTGTGCCGCTCCCTTTCCCTGTTGCTCTCTGCCTGTCGTGAGTGTGTTGGACAACAGCGACGAGTGCATGTTAAGTGCCTTATTATCCTGTTTATGTAACCGTGCAGTTTTGTCCGGACATGGGACTCCAGAGGCAGAGCCTCCCTCCCCCTAACCCTCCCTCTCCCCCCTGGACACATGTTGTATGCTTCGCCCATGTGTTTGTGTTTCATGTTTTATTCAGGCCTAGTTTACAAATTGTCGCAACGTGGAACGTGGTACGTGGCGACAAAATGAATATTTTGAATACAAATAACTTAAAGTGGACTCAACAAATAATCAACAAAAAATTCGAACAAAAGAAAAATATCCCCACACACCACCCCAAACCGATGATGACGCTGATGAAGACTTGTTGCCGGGGCCTCCTTTTGTCCCCTGGCTGCTTATTGTGGAATGAGCAGCGTTACCAGAGCGCCAAATACTTCCATTGATTGACCAGACAGCATTTTCAAGTTCAGTGGCAGGGCCAAAAAGCACCAAAAAAAGACAGAATAGGCCAAAAGGCAGACCAGGGCCAAATGCACAAGAAGCCCCACAAGGAATGCAAATTTCATTGATTTTTTTCAAGGATCTTTCAGTTGATTTTTAGTTGATTTTTCTATGGATCCTTCAGTTGATTATTTAGTTGATTTTTCTATGCATCTGTATGGATCGAAATCGCCTCCCTTTCTCTTCGTTTCTTAAAGTAGAATTTCCTCTTTGAGTGGTGAAAAGTTTGGACTTGATGAAGTTCCAAGTGCCAGCTCCCATTCGCTTCGATTCGTTTGCATTCGGTTGGGTGTGTTCCACCTTCTGAGTGTATTTATCATTTTACTTGCACACACACACACACACACACACACACACAGAGAGCGGAGCCAGAGGCTAGAGGCCCCTTGGACAGGAGCTGCATTCCACTCCACTTCAGGCAGGACTCGCACTCGCCTGGCACTTTAGAGCGGGCTAATTACAAAAAGTGAAAACACAATTCATTTTGCTTGTGGTTTATGTGTTTTCTTTGCTGCCACCATCCACTCCCCCCTGCTGCAACTCCCCACCCACCTTGCAGCGTTATAAAAATGTTTATGGCTGACGTTTGTTGCCATAAAAATGCGAAGTTGCCCGTCCACTGGGATGGGTGGTGGGCAGTGGGGGAATGCGATTACTTGACGACCAAAAAGGTCACTCAGCCGTGGCCATCGCCTGCCATTGTTGTGCCGTGTCCTTGTACGGGGAGAGGGGGAAAAATACCACTACTCCAGCCAGTAGCCAGGACCTGGAGTGCCTCACCCTGCCTGCCTGAGTGTCCTGTGTGTGTGTGTGTGTGTGTGTGTGTGTGTGTGTTTGTTCCCGCCGTATTTATGGCATTGTGTTTGTTAATAACATTTGCAGCGTCGAGTGCATTCCATCTCTGACGTAATGCCCTCCCCCAAACGGGGGCCAAAAGGTCTCCGGCTGACTGGCTCCCAGCTGCTGGTATTGGTAATACAAATGTCCTAATACCCTGTAGCTGCATGTATGCCTAGCAGATGGATGCAGCAAGTCCGAGTCTAAGCCATTGGATTATTTTGATAGAAATAAGTGACTGAATTCTGATGATTGCTGGCTGCAGATAAAAGAGTGAATGTGGATTTATATTATATTATCCGAAATGTTAGCAGTCACTGGGTGTCCTGCCACAGGGTGTCCTGCAGGTGCTCGCCGAGCAACGGTGCAGCAACTTGACTTTGCTTTGTTTTTCTAATTAATTTAAATCTACCCCTTGGGGCACCGTTCCTCCGTATCTCTGGAGCAGCTTTATCCAGCGCTCACTCATGTTCTACTGCTCTCTCATCACCCCTCTCTCTCTCGCTCTCTCTCCCTGTTTGGTTTTCTTTTGCAGTACTTGGCCGTGCAATTACGCAGAATGCCGTTTGCCTTTTAAGTTTCAACGCTCGCATTGTTACCCGGCAACGGCTTGCAGACAGCAGGCAGCAGGCAGCAGGCACAGTGGAAAAACTGACGCTAAACAGGAGGCACACAGGAGAGTCTCCATCCTCAGCCTCATCCGCATCCACATCCACATCCACATACAGTTCGAGTTCCAGTTGCAATTGCAGTGGCAGTGCCAGTGCCACTGACAGTGGCAGTAAGTTACTGTGCAACTTTTGCCGGAATCCCGTTGGCGCTGTCGTTGTTGTCGCATAACTCAAAGCTGATGAAATATGGAGCTGCTTCAGGTACTCTGCTGCACGCTCCTCCTGCTCCTCGCCCGAATGCAAGGTAAGTCGAAATTGCCGCCAGCGGCAAAGCGGCAAGTGGCAGCCAGCAGCTGCCATCTGCCTGCATGAAACGAAACGGAAATTGTACACGATAGTTGTCCAATCGTTATGTTATTTTCAGCTTTAACCATATCGATAAGTTATCGATAAACATGCTAACCATCGATTAATGATCTTAAGTTTGTTTTGCATAAACATAAGTATTTCAGTTAATTTTTAAGATATTTAACAATTCAAATTAATCGGTCTGTTATCGACTTATTATCGAGTTCTTGTAATCGCTTTGTTTTCGATATTGAATCGTTTTTTATTGATTTTTTGCTGATTTTTTATGAGTTTTCCAAGAACTTCCTAATCGATTTGCCATCGATTTTGTTATCGATATTGTTATCGTCGATTTATCGCATTACATATTGCATTTTTGTCGCCAACACAAGCCTGAGCTGAGTCATGTACTTCGCTGTCATCGCTGGCTTTGATCTAGTCAAAAATTGAATAATTTCCTCCCCCGCCCCCTAACATGCACCTCGTAATACCATCAACCCCCGTGCCACCGTGCTACCTGCACTTTGGGGTCAGTGTCAACCGTGTCAACGATATGCGATATGCAAATTTCCTGCACATCAACGCGACACGAGAGCTTGCATAACTTTGCAACACCAATGGCAACACGGAACAACATGAACAACAACAGCAACAACAAAAACAAAAGCAACAGGAACAGGAACAACAGCAACAGCAACAGCAAGTTGAGCAAACAACAAGCGGAACAACAGCAACAACGTCCAGCTGCAACAACGACAGCCCAACGACAGTGCAACATCGAGTAGGAGGTTGCACCGTTGCCCATCTCTCACCCTGATAAGGGGCAAGTACCCTTGTGCTTTGCTGGGGCTACTTTGCTGACTGTCTTATCAATGCCACAGATCTGTCACCATAAATTTAACATTAATTACGAAATGGTAACCCTGGTGACCCTGGCCAGGTCCCTGTACAGCCACTGGCAACCCTGCACTGGAAGGCAGGCGCTGAGCTTCACTGCTAGATAATGAGCAACAGAATAAATAAATAAATTGCAGTCAAGAGAGAAAGAGAGAGAGAGAGAGAGAGAGAGAGAGAGAGTGAGTAGGGGAAGCAGAAGCAGCACCAGGAGAAGCCTCAAATTACCAGAAACGGATGCAAGTGACCAAAAAGTTTGCACATTAATCGGAGGCTACTTAGGCCCAACTTTAGTCCGGAATAAGCCAAGGAGATGAGATGGCAAGGGCTGGAGGTAAGGGCAGGCGAAGAGACAGGGAAAGGGGCAAAGCAGAGGCAGTGGCAGGGCCAGCGGCAGCGGCAGAGACAGAGGCGAGGAAAGTGCATGGGTAATGAGCCACAGCCCTGAGTCCTGTGCCCTGTGCCCTGTGCCCAGAGCCCTGAGCCGAAGCCAATGAAACGATGGCCAATCGATAGATGCAAATAGACAAAAGTTTTTCGGAATTTCCAGACATTTATTCCACTTCAAATTTGATCAAATTGTAATGAAATAAAACAGACTAAAACAGAAATGTGGAAACCAACATTTTTGTTGATTTTTGTTGCAATTTCAATTGAAAATCTCAGTCCAAAAGTGCTATGCGATAATTAATTGAAGAGTGTAGCAGCGTGCGAGCTATGAGATATGTTAGTTAGGTTTTTTTTTACTGGCACTGAAGACAATCCCCACAGCAGCACTTTCGCTGCCCGCAAGCACACACACACACACAACCACACACAGACAACCACACACACACTCATGAATGTTTCAACTTCTAAACATTTACTCGCAGCGCCATTTGGCAGAGGCATTTGGCTCCAGCGCCGCAAACTATGCAACGTCTGCGAGCACTCACAGCAGCACGACTTTAAAGACAGCCGCTTACATATGCCTGCGTGTATTTATATACATACATATATACATATATACATATGTATTTGTCCAAATATATAGCTGGAAACATTTCTAGCTGAGAGCTTCAGGGGCACAGAGAACAGGTCGAAAAAAAGGCACGAGAAATGCTCGAAAAACGAAAATATCATGAAGATGAAGCTGAAGCTGAGGAGTAGAAAAAAAGCGAGAGAGAGAGAGAGAGCGAGGAGAAAGAAATGTTCATGCAATAAATTCACGTTGAAATTTTGCAATAGTTGCGTCTAGGAGTTGCAGCAGTAAACGGTGGGGGCAGGGGCAGGGGCAGGGGCAGAGCAAGAAATAAAACAGGCAACAGTGCGGCAGGCCCACCCTGCCACCCCATTGAGTTGAGTGGCTTCTGCCACCGGTACCTGCTGCTGCTTAATTTTGCAGAGCCTCCTTCGCTTAAGTAAACTTTGCACCTAAAGGAGGTTGGGTAGGGAGAGGCTGCAACGTTGCCAGGTGGAGCTGGAGGCCCGGACCGGGCCTGGGCATGGGTCTGGCCAGCGATAAGCAGGCCGCCGCCGCCGCCGCTTGCTGCTCGCTGCACAATTTTTGTTTGCCCCATTCGATTAAACTAAACATAAATTTCATGGACGATAAATCAGCCGTGAGCGCTGGGACAGTTCCAGGTGCAGCTTGCAGCTTGCAACTTGCAACTTGCAACTTAGCCCTCCACCCCCTCGCGGCACGTGTGGGAAATCAAAAGAGTACGAGAGAAGGGCAAGAGCCGGAGTCCAGAGTCCAGAGTCTGTGTAGAAGCTACTCTCCATGGCTTAACAAATGAGTTTCCACTCACCGAAAAATGCACTAAGTAATCCTCTTCGTGGGGTCAAGATTTACATTCAGCCATCGCTCTCCCTGGCAAACGCGAAATTTAAAGAATCATTTCAGAAATATGATTTTGGACAGCTCTCAGGCTGCCAGGCTGCCAGGCTGTTGTTCGTGTTGGAAACAAATAACAAAAAATTCCAAACTGAAAATGGAATACAAATCGGGGGTAGGGTAGGTAGCTCATGCTCTTACAGTGCGTTTCGTGTGTATAGCAACGCCAACACCACTCCCCTTTTGATTAAGCGAAGTGATCAAATGAAGAACTTTCATCTAGCCATCGAGTTGTTTCGTTTCCTTTTTTTTGGCACGCTTTAAAAACGATTTTAGAGCCCGCTGAACATTTGGTGGTGGCATTTTCCATTTGTTTTGGGTTTTGGGTTTTGGGTTTGAGTTTCGTTGTTCGTTGGAGTTCCTGTTTTTATTTTTTCCACACATAAATATGGCCAAAAAATAGTTTTTGCTTTTAGTGTTTGCTTACCTTTTGTTACCCTCCTCTGTCCGCCGCGTCTCCGCCTTCGCTCTGTCTCTGTCTCTGGCCCACTCGTCGGCTACGTAATGTGGCACGTAGCTAACAAACATGGCTGCTTTTCGGAAGAGGTGTGTGTGTGTGTGTGTGTGTGTAGTTGTTGCAGCACACTTGCTGTGCTGTTGTTGCTTTTGTGTGCAGCTTCCGGTTGGAAATCTTCAGCTGTGGCTGCGGTGCTGGGGAGGCTGCACTGACCGTAAGAACAACACTGTGTGTGTGTCTGTGTTAATGCCAAATTAAGTTGCTGCACGTCGGAGCATGCATGAATGGCAGCCCAGCCCAGGCCAACCCACATCCAAGCCCACAAAAAAAGAGCGAGTCGAAGGAGCAGCCAAGTCAAGCCTCTACGCAGGCCTCTAATCCCAAAAACATTAAACTGCCCCGCGCGTTAGGGCATTGATTTTCGCTTTCCTATGCACACCACACACACCGCACACCCCTCTCTGGCACTCAGATACAGTGGCTACAGCTATAGAGAGAGAGAGAGAGACTGGCTACTGGCCACAGGATTTTGGGAAGACTTCCTGCCATCATCATCTGCTGTTGGCTCTTGGCTGTTGGCTCCTCGTTTATGCTTTTGTGCAAATGAAAATTCAATTTGAAATGGAAATTATATCTACTTTTTCTTCAGTTATTTTTTCATTGTTGTTTTGTCGGTTTGTTTGTCGTTTCAGAGAGCGAGGAAGGCTGGGAGAGTCGAGTGCTGCATTTTGGAAATCGTTTCGCATTCAAACAGCAGATGGAAATATGATTGCCAAACTGTTTTGCCCACACACACACACACACACACACTGGCAGTATTGTAAAATGAAGGCAACAGTGTGCTCGGTTTCAATTTCTGGGAATGCCTCAGAGTCAGGGCAAAGGCGAAAGCAAAGCGCCACAAGATACACATCGGCAGCAATTGGAGCGATGGCTTATTCATTGAGTTAATCAGACAGCGTGAAAGATAGAGCAGAATGATGGAGAGTGAACAGAGAGAGAGAGAGAGTGAGAGCTGGAGTGTCTGTGTGTGTTTGTGTGTTCTCATGCATGGCCAATAATCCTCAGCAAATGGAGACATAAAACAATGGAGGAGAGGCCAAAGGAGGAGTAAAATAAGAGGAGGGGCGTAGCTGGAGAAGGAGCAAGAGCAGAGCATAACATAATTTCCAGCACTTAACCATGGCCAACTGTTGTCCCATTTCCATTTCCTGTGCCCCATGCCCACATGCCATGCCCTGACCTACTCTGCTCCCAGCCGCCCTGCCTGTTGCCCCTTGGCTTGCCCTCCTCCCTGCTGCTCCTCCCGCCCGGAGCTGGGGTCATGCATTTTTCCGCTTCGCTTGTTTTCAAACTGATTTCAATCTGCTTCTGCTTCTGCTTCTGCTTCTGCTGTCTTTCGATCTTCCTTCCTGCCCTGCTCAGCCTTCGCCCTGGATGCCACACTTCACTTCACTTCATGCCACATCCGTTGCAGCCGCAGCAGCAACATTTTGGCCGTTTCATTGTTTCGCTGTTGCCAAAAGTCGTCAACGGATTTGCTGTTGTTTTTTTGTTTCTTCTGTTTTTGTTGTCATCAACATCACTGGCCACTGGCCACTGGCCACTTTCTCTCTCTTGTGGCATTTCGCTTTCGATTTGTGAAAAGAAAAAGGAGTGGGGCCACACCCTGCCACGTGCCGCTGATGAAGGGCGTCATTTCGAGTGCCGTTTGAATATTTTTTGATTT